AAAAAAAAAAAGGACAGGAATGATAATTATTAATATTCTATTTTGTTTTATATTTTTCCCACTGTAATAAATTTAAAAAAAATTTTTTAATGCATTGTTCAAAATCTAAACATGCTTTAATTTAGCAAGTTACAGGGATGTGATTCTTCCGCGGATTTCCGTTTTTTTTTTTTTTTTTTTTTTTTTTTTTTTTTTTTTTTTTTTTTTTTCTCCAAATTTTTCCCACTGATTTCGGCAGAATTTTTTTTTTTTTCTACAGAAGTTAAAATATTTTTTGATGAATTTAATTTTCCGCAAAGCGAAAGTCTTGGAAGTCCTCATTCCTCCCTTTGAAGTTTCTCTAAAAAGCATTTCCTTTGGATAAAACTGGTTGACCTTAATATGATCGCTTTTGTCTCTCGAATTTCAGCCTTTTTTATCAAAAACTCCGATTCTCTAAAAGTTTCGGATCTTTTGTTAGTTATAAATATCCTTTTTTTTTTCTTTTTTTTTTGTGAAAATTCAGTCATTGAAATAAAATAATTATATTTCTCTGCGATTTTCAAAGATAATCAAAAAGTTCAAGCTACGTCCTAGCTGCTAACTCATCCGCATTTTTACTTAGTTTAGCTATTTTCTCCGATTTTAGGCACAGAAAATTAGGTTTTCCATATTTTTATCCGTCCGCCGGATAGCACGTATTTTCGTAATTCAGACGTCGCTGCTTCCTGTTTCCGGCGTGAAAACAAAAAGAAGAAAAAAGAAAGAAAGGTGGATTTGCGTTGAAAATATTTATTTGCTTATTTAATTAATCTTGTAAATTTTTATATATTATGTCTGAACATATTGTTAACAATACAAACAAGCCTTTTTGAAATCCTTAGTCCAGACTGAGCAAATATCTCGATTCTTATTCACGCGATTTTAATATCAATTTTTGATTTTTGAATTTATTTGATTTAAAAGTTGTGCATTGTGATTCTTATTTACGCTATTTAAATATCGTACATTATGATTCTTATTTATTAGATTTAAAAATCCAATATTGTGTTTTGTATTTATGCATTCTTAAAATCATGATTTTATTATCAAACATCGATTTTCGTATTTACCTGATTTAAAAGTTGAGTGTTGCGATTCTTTTTCAGGCGATTTAAATACCGTACATTGCGATTCTTATTTACGAGATTTAAAAATCCAATATCGCGATTTGAATTTACTCGCTTTTGAAACCCTATGTAGCTTTTCGTATGCGCGCGAGTTTAAAATCCTATGTCGTGATTCGTTTTTGCGGTTGTAATATCAAACATCTATTTTCTTGTTTATACGTGCTTTAAAAATTAGACATTGGGATTCGTATTCGCGCGATTAAAAAATTATGCATCGTGATTCGTACTTACGTGATCTAAAAATTACTCATCATGATTTGTATTTTCGCATTTTTTTAATTCGATATAGAGTTTCATATTCACGTGATTTAAAAGCCTCAAATCGGGATTCATATTTTCTCAATTTAAAATCGTGCGTGTGATTTATATTCATATATTCATTCAATTTCATAATTAATTACGGGATTTATAATCACATGGTTTACAAGTTTAAAAATAGCACTTTTTTTGTCAAATTTTTGGATATGTATATATATTTAAATACTTTTGAAAAATATTTTTAGTAATTTTCTTCTCTTGTCATTATTTTTTATTATTTTCCATATTTTCTCAATATTTTAGCTTATTTTATGAGTTCTATATACTTGCAGCTTATGCGCAGTTAATAAAACTTATTAATTTTCTTCATTTTTTTTCTTTGTATTTATTGTGCTATATATATATATATTCTTGGATTTCCTCTTTTTTACTTTCTGACTACTCTCATCCCTCTCAGAAAAGCAGCAAAGTAATGTAAAGCAAAAACGATGAAGGATTTTTTTTTATGTAAAAACTGTTTAATTCTCGTAAAGTATGCTTGCTCTTTAATCATACTATGAATTGTATATGTGGTGTACTCGTATAAATTTTGTATTTGTTAAATATNAAATCTCACTTAACTTTTTGAAATCTCACCCTGCTTTTGAGAAAGGGTGAGAAATTGTCACCCATTTTTTTTCTATGATGAAAACACTGCTCTTCACTTTAACCGAGTTTTTCGGTTATCCGAGTTAGTCGTGGTCCACATTAACTCAGATAATCGGGACCCTACTGTACTTACAACGTCAAGTTAAAGAAAAACAGTGAAATTTGTTGTGAACCACTTAAAGTGTTACGAATTTTCAAATGTTTTACATTTGAGGTTCAATAATTCGAGTCTCTTACACTTTTTATTTTAATATACTACACTGAAGTTAAAAATAAAAAAAAGCACTTTTTTTAAAAAAAAATTTCTATTAACTTTATTTTCTTAGGATGCCTGTATATCTCAAATGTTTAAGCTTTTTCGAAATGATATCTTAGTAGTTAACTGTGGAAATATTTGCATATCAAGTCAGGCTTAAATTATAATAGTTGTAGTTATACTATATTATATTCATTGTAAATTTAAGTATTCTTTAATATTTTATTGTTTATAATGTATAAAATATGTGACATAATTATTTTTTAGTTTTAACAATTTTATTACTTTTTTACAGGTAAAACAAGCTATTACTAATTCTAAAAATGAAGAGGGCATTAGTGTTATGGATCTTTATAGCACTCTAAAATCCTTAAATCGTCAATCAATACAGTGAGTGAAATGGTTTTTAATAACATTTATTCAATTCTTTCGTGCTTTGAAAAAAAGAAATCATATTAAGTTAGTAGGTTAGATAATTCAAAAAATATCTATCTTAAAAATACTTTTATGTTTGGTTCTTGGTACTATAATTTTATCCACCACAGTATATAGATAATTTAAATTATAAAAACAAAGCTAAATAATAAAATGTTATTGTGACAAGTTCTGCTTTATTTCATTACATTGTTAAATTTTAGTTCATTTAATCTCAGTAAAAAATAAAATAATAATAATGAGCTTTGCTGTATTTTATTAAAAATATTAAATATCTTCTACAAAAAGTATAAAAGTTAGTATTCGACTGGTCGTCGGGAGTTTCAATTCGTAAAATAATTATTGTGAAGATTTTTGTTTTTAAACTGCTTTGGTAATATTTCAATATGACTAATTAGGGTGGAAACATAATTTAAAAATTAAAATTCTTAATGAAATTCATCATTGTGCAAACGTTCCTATATAGAAAAACAATTTAGAACCTTTTTTTTTTGTTGTTGTCCTCACTCTAAAGTATTCGAAAGTTTTTTGATAATTGACATTTTTAATTGATAGTTGACATTTTTTAAAGATATTTTAAAAACTTTATAATTAAATTTTATAAACACAGTTTTAATTGAAGTATTTCTTTAAAATGAAATAGAGCCGTAAATTTAAAACTATATTCTTGTATAGCAATAGATGCAAATGTTTGATTAAAAGTCACACCATAAAAGAAAGGAATCTGAATTCTGTTTAAAATTCAGATATATATCTGCAATATGAGAATAAAATTGTGGATTTAAAGTTTGTGTTTCAAAACCAGGTATCGGTAAGATTTTTATTACTTTTATTATATTGAGAGATGATTGTACTCCTGAAAAAATCTAGATTTCAAGATTTTTGCTAACTGCAATCTGGAAGTTTCCAGAAATCCGAGGTCCAGGGGTTTCAAGAAATCGTCGATCACATTTTTAAATAAAAATCCTTGTTTATTTTATTTATAAATATTGGAACTAGAATTAATACTTTGCATCGCTTTCATTTGTAAATATTTTTTTTTGGTAGAATAATAAATTTGATTACAGATAAAAGTAAACGTATCCATAGTTATTCATTTAAATTATGCTGCATTTAATTTATTTAGAATTTCATGTTTCGAAAATATCCATGATTTAAATTTATAACGACATTCATTTTTTGAAACGTGTCATTAATGATTTTACTCAAGAAATTTTCAGAATTTTTAAGTTTGACTCACAATCACCCCTGTATATTTTTGAAAATAGAAATCTATATTCAGTACTTAGAACTTTTGGCAATTGTATAAGTATAGAAAAAATGTGTTAAATTTTAAAATGTCTTAAAAAGAGCTGTCATTAATCACACATCAAGTACTTTTATAATTTTGTTAATTGAACTGCTATAAATTTATTTTCCTTTTAAAAATATGAAAATAAATAAAAAGGATTTAAATAATCTCATACTATTATGCTTTGTAAAGATATAAATTGATTTATTTTTGAAAGTTAATGTGATTTAAATCAACAACCCCAGTGAAGTATAATTTTTATCTATTATCACTACTGATGCAGAACTGAGGTTTGATCCTCCTTTCGGCTGACTAAACAAACAGCCTATATATGCAGTGAATTGTACTTTAAATCTGTCCCTTCGCTAAAAATCATGTCATTAGCCTAGTGTATAAAATGAGAGAGGGTCTCATCAGTTCACGTTGTGTAACCGTGATCTAAATTATGTGACCTTCTTACCATTGCCGCTAAACTGTACTGAAAAATAGGGTTAGATGCGTGGCCATAAGCTGAGTGGTATGTATATACTCATGAGCGTAATATTTAAATGATGATCTCTAACGTCACCATAATGCTTTTTTTTTTTAAAACTTTTTTAAAGTTTCTTTCCTACCAACAATCTGCAGTGATTTCTAGGAATACTAAATGGATGTGATTAATTAATATAATAGATTTGAATAGTTAACAGTCTGCAGTTTATAATTAACAGTCCATCTCTGTCATATTTTTGTTTACATCTGTACAATTTACCTTTCTGTAATACACAATTTAAAGGTTGAGTCTTTTTTTCTTTTTTTTTTTGCACTTTAATAAAGTTAATCGAATTAAGAAAGAGTTGTGTAAATGACTGTTAGTGTTATTTTCTAATCAAATTTCACATTCTTTATATTAGATTATAATTCCACTATTTCTAAAAAGTTTGTTTTATTATTATTATTTACTCTTGTTTATTCCATTCTGTTATGTATGATAACTTTTTAAACAATGAAGAACAAAAATCTAGGTTGATAATTTATCAAAAAGCATTTATATTATAATTCTAAATAATAACACCTATCCATATTGTTTCTGCTGTTGCTTTAAAAGGGAATAATAGTGTATATCATTCATATAAATATGTATTTTATTCCCCATAGAAATTAATTTAGGAATAAGAAATATGAGAAAATATTAAAATTAAATCATAATTTACTCTACAAAATAAACTTGTCTTCATTGCTGCTCAAAAAACACGTAAGAGCATTTTATAGAATTAAAATAAAACGAATATCAAACGAATTAAATTGATAAAATTATTTTAGGAATTCAATAACACTAAGAAATAATTCATTGTCTAAATCTAAGAGTTCTGATTTTTTTTCCCCATTTGGAAGGGGCTAAGATCCAATTTGGTTCTTAGTATTTTTGACAGGGTTTGAAAAACCTGAGTTTTTTTTTAAAAGCCCAGCAAATCTAGATTTCTTGTCCTTGGAAACCAGAGTTTTTTTTATTACCCTCGGTTTTTTATAATTCTGTAGAAACTACTGAAGGTTTTTTCAGAAAATTTTTTAAATTGTATTCCCAAGTCCTTAATTTAATTAGTTAGGAGGATTTGTTTCTAACATGAAAGTTAAATATTTTGTAACTGTTTATAATTTTTTTTGTTGCATTGTTATTATTTTTGTTAGATTTTAAATTGTTATTTTTACTACTGACCGACAAATAGATTATTACATAAATTAAAATATTGGAATATAGTTTAAACTTAATAATTTTTCTTGGTTATCACTGTAATTCAATGTGCAATTTTTTTAATTTTCTAGTTAACTCATGGTTATTTAAAATTAAGTTAAATAATTTTCACTAGATTTTTTAGCAATATAAGGTAAAGTTAATTCCTAATAAGTTAAGTATTCACAGGGTGTTGCTTATTTTCCTTTTTTAAAAGAACTTAAGGATGCTTTTTTCATTTGGTGTTTTTAAAAAGGGCTTAACTTTCTCTTTTCTAAGATGAGAATTTTTTTTTTAACCATGTTGATTTTTGCTACGAATTATGCAAAAAGATATTGTTCTTTTCAATGTTTTCACTAATTTAACTCCAATCAATTTTGGCATACCGTCGGTCAGTAGTGTATGAAAAAGCCAACTGTTTCACATGTTTGATGAAATTCTTGAAAGTTTGCATGTGCGTTTACTGAGCCCGATTCAATGGAAAGCATTTTTGTTTTCTCGTGTGCAACTCTGCTGCATTTTGCAAAAGATTCTCAATTTCAGGCTTCATTTTTCGCTATATTTCAGGCTTCATTTCAGTTTAAAATTAAACAAATTTCTTTTCTTATATAAACTTGACTTTCCAAAAATATTTTTAAAAAGTTAATGTACTCAAAGAAAAATATTTAAAAAAAATTCAAATTTATGGGGTAATTTCGATTGAAAAAAACTTTGTTCTGAGGAAATATTAGGGATTGAGAATTTTCTACACTCCTGCTTATATGTACATGATTATTTCCAATAAATCATAAATATAATATATTGTCTGATAAGTAAACTAATTATAATTTATAAAAAATATAAATGTTTGTTTTAAATCAATAAATTCAAAAGTTAAATTAAGTTACCATCAATATTTAATACAGTTATTAGAATAAATTTTCTAATTACCTGTTATTTTATGTTATAATAGTTTTGTAGGTCGAAATTCTAGTCTATACAGCTGAGCATCAATGGAAAGAACAATTCCAAATTTCAGTCTTATTCATACAAAACTGAAAAATGAACTTGAGGGCTTCAAAATCTATTTTTTTGTAATTGATTGCTTTGAAGAAAAGAGGAGTTAAAATGGAAACTGATTTTACATGTAAAGAATGAGATGATTTCTAAGTGTTTTTTTAATAAGATAATTGCTTTTGTATTTTTATTTTTAATAATTAAACAAATTAAGAGATTGGATAAATTGCAATTGGACCCATTTTTATTTATGATTATTTAATATTATCTACACCGAAATTTGAGTTTTTGTCAGTAATTTTCAAAACAAAGAGTTTTATGTTAAAATAATTCAAGAACATAATTGTTGGAACACTTATAATTTTTCATGTATGTTAATTTAAAAATACTTCTTATTTATAATAACTAATAATTATCCTTTATCCAAAATTTTGGGTTTTTGACTATTGTTAAAGGGTTTTTTGTTTTTGACATGTAGGTTAATACCATGGTTATAAAATTCAATTGTCAAAAACTTGTTAACCCTGCCTGTAATTATGATATTTTTTAAAGTACTTAAAAATATTTCTTGAGTGCTTTAATGGTGCTTGTTTTTCGCTACGCAGCCATAATTCATTATTTTAATTGCTTATGCTTATTTTGAGTTGAAGTAGTTTCATTTAGAGCTTGTTATAAAAGTAAAGATAACTTACTTACAGTTTAATAATTGCATAACGATTAATTTATGTTACATAATAAGGTTATATTACAGGATTATTATATAATGAAAGAAAGCCACTTTTAGTTTTTTAAGCCTTTAAATTGGAATAATAATAAAAATCACCTTTTAATTGTAGCAGAGAATAATATTTAGAAAGGATGATAAATATCACAAGTAAAAACCTATTTTTAAAAAAATCTGAATTTTCTTTAATTAAGGAATCTTTGCAATATTTTGGCTAATAGGAATGTGGGAACATTATTAAGATAATATTTTAGACCTTTTTATTTGTATGTTACAATGTAAAACAAAACATTTTGATTATTGGTTGCACCTACAAATTGCTAAGATATGAAATATCTTGGTTCAAAAATTATAAATTGTAAGCATAATCGCATTTTTCATATTTTAAAAATATTCATTGTGCCAAATTTAAAGTAAATTAAACTACACCTAACGAAATAATCGAGAAAAAAATTGCTGAATGATTTGTGGTGCCTTGAAATTAGTAGGGCCTGTATTTATCTAGAATAAGACATAATTTTACATGGCACAGTCATACAGAATTCTAATCCAACTTTTTAGAACTAAACTTCTTTCTTCATTTTTTTTAATGATATGAAGGAAAAAAAAGATGTGAAACTCAATTTTTGCTAATGTTCTTTACTACTAGAACAAGAAAGAACAATAATTCTGAAACTGAATTCAATTTCAATACACTCTTAAAAATTGAATACTAATTTGTGTCATTAAATTTAGTTGTCGTATTAAAATGTATAAAATCAATTTTTTGTTTTCCATAATAATATATAAACTTAATTTATCAAATATATCTGTTAAAGAAATGCTTATAAAAAATGTTTCATTTGTAAAAGTCTTTTTCTTCTTTTTTCTCTTTTTAGGGAAGCTTTAGATTTTCTGTGTAATGAAGGCCATATATATTCCACTATTGATGAAGATCATTACAAGTCTACTGACTCAGTATAATTTGTGCCAGTTTGAAAATTAAAAAAATTTTTGTGTGTCTGTTTTTATACACTTTTGTCCAGTCACCAATAAAGTTTAAAATTGTATATAAACATAATTTTTTGTTATTTTTACTGTTCTTTGTCCTTTTTTTTCTTGAATATTTCTTTTCAAAGCATTTGAAGAGCTTTTAATTTAATAAATATGTTTACTTTCAGTAACAAACACACTACTCTTACCTTTATAAGTATATTTTTAACCTCTAAATATGTTAGCGTAGTGAAAAATTATTTTGTAAATTTTTTTAACCATTTTAATTTGGTTTATTCTTGAAAAGTGAGTTAAGAACAGGGTTACTGTATTTTAGCCCTGACAAAGAAGGCCAGTGTTTTTTTTTTTTTTTTTCCCCTGCTTAAACCACCCAAAAAAAGAAGGGGGGGCACCTAAAACTAGAAAAGCCGCTCTTATTTAATAAACTAATATGTTTCCGAAACTGTTGCAATATAAAATGGTACTGCATTGATGTGATTGATTGTCAACTTTGAAGTCTTGAAACAGTTTTGAGTAACAGCTTTAATCTTACGAGCATTAAGAGCCATAATTTGAAACTACAATTAGAAATTAACTTTTTTAAGGCAGCTTAAGTATATGAATGACATTGATTATTGACGATTAAGCTCAATTTTAAAATAAATAATGACTAACAATCACTGTCGAGCCCAATTAGGATGAATTAGCAAATCAGTGGAATAGATCAATTTATGACGCTATTATCGGGTTTTGAAGCAAATATATGGAACAGCAATAAAATTAAAATTAGATAACTTATCTGAAATTACTCATAACTGTTATTTCAAAAATAGTAATAACTAGCTTGTGCTATTTTTTATGTATATATATTTATCAGTTTTAAAACTTAGATAGTTAATCAAAAGTTTCAAAAAAATAATCTATTAAAAAATAGAAAAGATTATTACTAACATTCCACTACAATATTAATACAAAAGTAGCAACAAGCTTTTTAACTTTTCCTTGTTTCTAAGGTATCTACTAATTTCAGTTATCACTGCAAAAAGAAAATAGTTTTCTGTCATCCAAAATGCTAGTAATATTTAACATCAAAGTGAATATTTTAAAACTATATATATTTTTTTCTATAGCATGTATAAGCATTTTTGAAACCCATGCAGAGCTTGTTAATATGCGCCTAGACTTATTTCACGCCTTGGTATTTACTGTTTTCTATAAATTTTTTGTAGCCCAATTAAACTGCCATTCTACAATTAGATGAAGATTATTGCCCACAAAATACGTAAAATAATGTGATGTCGATAATTATTTCAACCCTTAATGCTGTAGGAAAATGGTAAACTCATCTTGGTACAATGACTTTCAATATGGTACAAATGCAACTACTAAAGGTGCAGACTATTAACATATTGTGAGTATTAAAGTAAAATAATTTTGAACTAGAATCTTTAAAGAATAAAAACCAACATCAAAATAAAGTTATTATTTTCAAATTGGAAAAAGGATAGGCTGAAATGTTTGTGGGTGAAAACGAAACAATTCGATGTGTTAAAATAATTTAATAAATGACGTAAAAAAGGAATTAAAATTCGAGTGTAATAGAAATAGTAAATGATAGATATTTTATCTTAGAAGCAACTACGAGTGCATTCTTAAAATTTGATTTGTGGAAGGCCTAACACTTCGTTTTTTTTTTTTTTTATGTTACGTTTCAAGATCTTAGGAGCACACTAGTTCATTAAGAAACAAGTGTAACACACAAAACTTTAATGATAATGACATTTTGTCACTGAAGATGTTCTTCCGTCTTAAAAAATTTTTATAACTTACAAATTTTTTAATTGATTTTATTTACTGTGCACTGTCAGAATTTAAAGAATCGTGTGCTTTAGATTTATTTATTAATTTCGGATTTAGAGCAGGGCTTGTGGAGTTCGAATCAAAAAAATTTGACTCCAGCGACATAGTAAAAAAATTTATGAACACATGAGCATAATTTAGATATCTATATAAGTTTTTGAACAAACTATTATGCAAATGAGTGTTATGACCAGGCTTATATCAAGATGACCAAGAAAACGATGCCTTTCAAATTTTTGACGACATGTGTTGTATTAGCATTTTTTTTTTAATTATAAGTTCAATAGATAATAAAGTAATTAAAATCTTTGATTTATGAATGAAATGTAAATACCTGATAGAGATAAACTATTATTTATAATCTTCAAGAACATCAGAATAGCATTACATTACCGAAGTATTTTTAAAATCGGAAAAAATGTCTCATCTTTTAAGCAAATTGTTATTTCTTGTCCGATCCATGACAGCACTTGTTATTTTAACATATTTAAAATAAGAATCTATGCAAATTCACAGTAATTTATTCGGAGGAAAATTAATTTACAATATAATGAAGTCTGTAATTATTGAGGATCAGTTATTAAAGTATACAGCAGTTTCTTTTTAGTTTAAAAATATTGTACGAACGTTTGCATCAAATCTAAAATCAGTTGCAAATCCTTTAAAAAATTTATGAAAACTAATTGTTGAAATATTAATATTTTTGTTTATAATTTTCAAGTTACCAAGTCAAATATTTAAAAAGAAAGGAAAGAAAAAAGACTGCTTAAAAAAGTTTAGTGTTTTAGAATAACATGGAGATAAATAGTGAAGGTTTTTATGTAAAAAAATAAAAATCTGAAATATTTCCGTAGCCTTGAGCTATGAAAATTTACATCAGTCTTTTGATAAACTTGATATTAATTTTTACAAAATTAAAAAAGGCAAAACGACGTAAAAAAGAAATACACATTCTTCAATTTCTTCTTTTATTGTTAGATGATTAATTTGCAGAAAATTTTTCTAGTAAAAGATAAGAAACTTTTCGTGAAAAATAAAAATTCTTTTATTGATCAAGTGATTTTTGTGGGTGCTTTTATTTATTTATTTATTTTTTTCTTCAGTTAACGTAACTTTAATTTTTTAATTAACTACGTTTCGTTTATCGATGTTTGTACGTAGCTTTAAATACTTATTTTTAAAAAAAATGTCTCTGCTAACGAATTGTTAGCAGAGATACGTATTTATGAATGAATTTTTCTCTAAAAATGTAGGAAATGTTAACTTAGTATCTTTATGAATAATAAATGTAACTCAATAACTGTGTCAGGATGGCCGAGCGGTCTAAGGCGCCAGATTTAAGCTCTGGTTCTCGAAAGAGAGCGTGGGTTCGAACCCCACTTCTGACAAACGGTGTCTTTTTGTAAAAATATATTTTGTATCGATTAACTTCAAATAAATTAAAGATATCTCCGAATTCGTATTTATTACTCCAAAATTTTCAGTACAATAGTAGCATTTTTTTCTTCTTCAACATTTTCAGTCATTTTGTCTTAAATGTCTTCTTTAAACGAGGTTTAAAAATATTATTGGATTTCCATTTCAAACAAAACAATATTTCTTACGTATTATTGAATGGAATAATAAAAAAAAATTAAAACAGAATTTTTATATAGATATAGTATATATATTTAAACGTATAAAATATATTTGAGCGTCGATTTAAAAAAATTATTAAAATTTATATTTCAATCAAAACATTATTTCTTATGTATTATTGAATATGAAGCTATATTAATAAAAATTTAAAAAAAAAACTCGAAATAGTTTCTAACGAAAAATCGCTTAATCTGAATTTCTTTTCTTTTAAAATATCTTTAAAAAAATATTATATCAATCCTAACAATATTTCTTAGATATTCCAGAATATAAAGCAACAATAAAAAAAATTCATAGAAATTTTTTTTTTAAAGAAATAGTTTTAAAGAGAAAATTATTCGGACAGAATTGTTTTTTCTTTATATAATACATTTTTACTTTCTTTTAAAGAGCGACTAAAAAATTATATATGTGTGTGTTGCTTTAACTTCTCCTGTTATGAACAAATGATGTTAATACATTATTTTTTATGTGAATTTAAATTTTTGAAACAAATATTGATGATAGCTGTGAAAATATGATTGGGTTTGAGAAATTTAATCATTACTCATCGTTATAGACTTCAACTAAGTTTTACTCAGAGATGACTTAATTTAGCGGTTAAAATATTTCCATTTTTTGTTACTTTATACATAATATGAAGTCAAATATAAACAAATATAATTTTTATTATTGAAATATGACATAGATGCAACGCAAATTCGATTAATTGTTCTAGAATTTTTTATCCACTTTTATTTTTTTTCGTTTGTTGAGGAAAAATGTTTCTGTTTTTTGTGAATTAATTATTTTTTCCATTTTGGATTTCGTACTTACTTGCAAGTAAACATTTTTTTATATATAATGGTTTCAACAGTAAATGAAATTCGTTTATTTCTGAAAAAAGTTTTATTGGAGTGTTGGGGAATAGATTAAGCTCAAGAAGGTGTTGAGGAATGAAATGTAGGACAAGTAATGTAAGGTAATTTAAAATTTTAAATTAGGAGCTGTTAAGTTGATAATTAAAATGTTCGATTCCAAGTCCGGTCTTTCCTGAGAGCTTGACTTTGACATATACTCAATTAAAATTTTGTTTAAATCGCAGGAAAATAAGTTTTGTTAGTTTATATTTAACTTCAAATGATATATTTCTATTAATAATCCAAGTTGAGATACTTTATTTAAAATTACATTTTGTATTATAATATAAGAATTGAAAAGATAAATTTTAAAAAATATATAATTGTATAAAATATTGAAATTGTGCAAAATCAATAATAAGAAAAAAATATATACATCAATATTTCACACTCACATGTTCAAAAGTCATACGGCAAAAAAAAAAAAAAAATAAAATAAATTATTGGACATTCATGAACTTTGAAACTATTATAAATGATATATTGAATTCTTTCGCATATTTTTTTAATTAGTTTACTAACTTCGCTAAATTTATTAATAATTATTTAAATTATTTCGATTTTTCAATCGCTTCAAAGATTTTCTATGTTCTTTTCTTTAATAGTTTTGTTAAATTTAGGCTCAAAAACGTTCAAAGGTATTTCATTAAGTTTGGAATAAATAAATATTTAAAATAATAGTTATAATTCA